GGGTCTTCCTACTAAATGCATCAGCCACAACATTAGCTTGACCACCCTCGTCACACAATCATAATCACTAAGCAAACTCATTCCACCTTTGTTGCCTAAGATTAAGATACCTCTGAATAAACAGATATTGGGTACTCTTTTGATTTGTAACAATCATGCACTTTTCTTCCCATTAAAGACAATGTCTCCAAATTCTCAAAGCAAAGATGATAGCTGCTAATTCCAAATTATAATTAGGGTAATTCATCTTATGAGATCCCAATGGCCATGAAGCATAGGCAATCATCCTACCATGTTGCATCAACGCGCATTCAAGAACATTCAAAGAAGTATTACTATAGACCACGTAATTACCACTATCGTTTGGGAGTGCGAAAACAGATGCATGAGTGAGGGAATACTTTACTTGCTGAAGCTCTACTCACAATTTTTTTCATCCCACTCAAACTTAACCTCTTTTTCTCATCAATCTCGCCAAGGGCGAAGCAATAATTAAAAAATCTTGGACGAACTATCGACAATATCCTGCTAATCCGAGAAAACTCTGAACCTCAGTCACGGTTGGCAATTGTTCCAAATTCTCAATCGTTGCTACTCTTTTAAGAATCCACTTGAATACCTTAAGTAGATATAATTAATTTATCCAACATTAGCATTTGCTAAACTTAGCATACATCAACGTTCCTTCAATCTTTGCAACACCAACTTTAAATATCTAGCATGCACTGCTCTAATCTTATCAATCTCGTCAATGGCAACAACAACAAACCGATCTAGATATCACTGGAATACTTCCTTCAGTAAGCTCATAAAAGTAGCAGGTGCATTCGTCACTCCGTATGGCATCCCAACTTGAAATGACCATAACGAGTCCTGGATTCAGTCTTATGGACATCCCCACTGTTAATCTTCAACTAATATCATTCAGACCTCAAGTCAGTCTCAGAAAGTACCCAGGCGCCTCAGAGCTGATCAAATAATAATTAATACACAAAACAATGGATAACAGCTCTCAATCGTTACCCGATTCAATTACCTAATATCAATGCCTAGCCTTAATGTCCACTTTCTTCCTCACAAATAAACCGGAGCTTTTCCAATGTGATATAATAAGTTGAATGGAACTTTTAACTAAACCTGAACCAATTTCTAACATAGGATTTGTACCTAAAAACAATTCAATAATGGAACCCACATCTCTGCCTGGCGGCAATCTAGGTAAGTCATCTGGGAATACACCAAGAAAATGTCTAACCATCTTTACATCTTCCATACTATTAGGATCAACATCATTTAGCACCATATGAACTCAATATCTTGGCAGCCTTTTGATAACAATCTTCTTTGCTCTCTCAACAGGAATAATGGCATAACTCACTCCACTTTACTTACCCCCAAAAGTAACCTCTGGTCATCTAGGTCAACAAAAATTAACTGATTCCCCATAGCAATCNTCTCTCTCATTCGATTCTTTGACTTTCAAGTAGTTTCTTCCACTGAAAGATTCCTCCATAAATTTTCACCAAACTCAGAGTCTTGAATATCATCCGTCCCCAATTCTAACAATTTCGAAACACAAGACATAGCTTTCCACGGCCTTATGGCGTTACTCTAGGGAACAAACTGAAGGAACCAACATACCCAAGAAGTTTAACAGATCCCAATCTCCTTTTTCCATAAAACAAATAAATAACTGTTGCGCTTATCTGGAAAGGTTGATGTTCTCATACTGAAGTAACATGCGCTGACGTCACAAGTCAATCAATTATTATTCAAACTCCAACCTAACTATTTGGTATACGAGGAAGCTTGTCCATGAAATCCATAGTAATATTCTCCCATTTCCGCCGTGGAATGGGAAATGACTACATTATTCCAAAAGACTTATTTCTTTCTGCTTTAACCTGATGACTGATGATACGCCTACTAACATACTTCGCCATTCCTCTTTTCATACCCGTCAATAGTACATGAACGAATGGTATGATAAATCTTAGTACTTTTGGGATGCATTGTAGAAGTGGAAGTACATCGTCAAAATTGCTTTATTTAATTCCACACCATTAGGCATAAACACTTTGTTCCCTTGCATAAGCTTGCCATCTGATTCTCTAACTCTAAGGTCCTTCTTTATCCCGTTATTCCTTGCTTTAAATAAATTCTTGAATTTCTTCGTCAAACGCTTGAGTATCGAGTACGATCTACCAAATGGGTCCAACTTAGAAATTAGCAAGTAAGGCTTCTTCTCGATTTTTGATACTCAACTTTACTCCAGTAGATTTCAAATCCACAAGAAGATGAACATAGCAAGCATACCAAGCATTAATTCTCACTGGGGTCTTCCTACTAAATGCATCAGCCACAACATTAGCTTGACCACCCTCGTCACACAATCATAATCACTAAGCAACTCATTCCACCTTTGTTGCCTAAGATTAAGATACCTCTGAATAAACAGATATTGGGTACTCTTTTGATTTGTAACAATCATGCACTTTTCTTCCCATAAAGACAATGTCTCCAAATTCTCAAAGCAAAGATGATAGCTGCTAATTCCAAATTATAATTAGGGTAATTCATCTTATGAGATCCCAATGGCCATGAAGCATAGGCAATCATCCTACCATGTTGCATCAACGCGCATTCAAGAACATTCAAAGAAGTATTACTATAGACCACGTAATTACCACTATCGTTTGGGAGTGCGAAAACAGATGCATGAGTGAGGGAATACTTTACTTGCTGAAGCTCTACTCACAATTTTTCATCCCACTCAAACTTAACCTCTTTTCTCATCAATCTCGCCAAGGGCGAAGCAATAATTAAAATCTTGGACGAACTATCGACAATATCCTGCTAATCCGAGAAAACTCTGAACCTCAGTCACGGTTCGCAATTGTTCCAAATTCTCAATCGTTGCTACTCTTTTAAGAATCCACTTGAATACCTTAAGTAGATATAATTAATTTATCCAACATTAGCATTTGCTAAACTTAGCATACATCAACGTTCCTTCAATCTTTGCAACACCAACTTTAAATATCTAGCATGCACTGCTCTAATCTTATCAATCTCGTCAATGGCAACAACAACAAACCGATCTAGATATCACTGGAATACTTCCTTCAGTAAGCTCATAAAAGTAGCAGGTGCATTCGTCACTCCGTATGGCATCCCAACTTGAAATGACCATAACGAGTCCTGGATTCAGTCTTATGGACATCCCCACTGTTAATCTTCAACTAATATCATTCAGACCTCAAGTCAATCTCAGAAAGTACCCAGGCGCCTCAGAGCTGATCAAATAATCATTAATACACAACAATGGATAACAGCTCTCAATCGTTACCCGATTCAATTACCTAATATCAATGCCTAGCCTTAATGTCCACTTTCTTCCTCACAAATAAACCGGAGCTTTTCCAATGTGATATAATAAGTTGAATGGAACTTTTAACTCAACCTGAACCAATTTCTAACATAGGATTTGTACCTAAAAACAATTCAATAATGGAACCCACATCTCTGCCTGGCGGCAATCTAGGTAAGTCATCTGGAAATACACCAAGAAAATGTCTAACCATCTTTACATCTTCCATACTATTAGGATCAACATCATTTAGCACCATATGAACTCAATATCTTGGCAGCCTTTTGATAACAATCTTCTTTGCTCTCTCAACAGGAATAATGGCATAACTCACTCCACTTTACTTACCCCCAAAAGTAACCTCTGGTCATCCAGGTCAACAAAAATTAACTGATTCCCCATAGCAATCTAGCTTGACACAATTATACTGCACCCACTGGTGCCAAAAAAATCACCTCAAAATCCATAATATCCAACGGAATAAAATTCACTGACATGACATTTTTCACCATCACTGGACACCCTTAATAAACCAAATCAACATAAAGTGCCTTACTTGTTTACTTACTTAACGAATCCAACAAATAAGTTATAAAATTTACGGTCTGCAGCCCGCAATACAAATAACTCACTGTTGTCTCGATAACTAAGTAACAATTCCTGAGGGGTGTAATATTATCATCTTGTTCTTCCTTAGAAATACATAAATACGCCTCGATCGTGCTCCAACATTACTTTCTTTGGCAACATCGACCATAATAAGAAATATATCAGCCGGAGTCAGCTAGAATGACCTGTACGACTGAGTCTACAACTCGACCATCCATGCTAGCACATAAGTCGGAGTCACATATAGTGACCTGTACGACTTACTCGTCAATATTTCCAAGTGATATGTTAAGGAAGACTATTGGGTAACAACTGATTCCAGGGACAATTCATACCTCTATGTCCCATCCGTCCACATGAACACATTCACTGATTCCCACACTCTCCAAAGTGTCTAATATTATACCTATGGCACAAAGGTACATTTCCCTTACTCGAGTCACCTTGTCTTTAAGATCTGGGATCACCCGTAAATCTATCACTTCGCCTCGGACCAGTGGCACTAAAACCTCAGTTGGAAGAATTAGTTCTAACTTCACTTCTTTTGAAGCTCTGAGTCTTTCGACGTCTTTGATATGACGGATCTTTAACTTTCTCACCTTTCCTCTAATTACCATTCTTTTCTTATTCTTCTTTACTCTCGCTGATCATATTCTCAAAGTCCTCAAAGCCCAACAACATCTCGTAAACTCCTGGTAAAAAGTACAATGGATTGTGGTCGCCAAAGAACGTCACTTCTTCTTATTATCCCGCCAAAAACGACATAACACCTCGACCGGATTAGTAACAACATCCGAATGGAAACAAGGCAAGTCTGTATTCAAATTTAACTTATAATCAGTCTCAAAGGTTCCTTTAGATAATAGACTGAATCATAGTGACAATAATTTCCCCCCAAACTACTATATCAGGGAATTTAGGCTCATCCGAACTACGTGGCTCGCTATGAGGCGGTATAGTTCTGACAGAAGACACTAGGAAATTCTCAAGATGTCCAGAATTGCAACCTAGGCTCTGATACCAACTGACACACCCCGTCCCGAAGGAGGGCGTGCTGGCCGTCACGTGAGAGTGACGTAACCATTTACATAGTTCAGAAGCTTTAAAAAAAAATTTCCAATTACTAAGATGACACACCCGAGGGTGAGTCCTACTTTTGTGAATTATGTCAGAACACCGTTGGATTCCTCGTGGCCACCAAAGCTCTGCTAACTTGAACCTGGAGGGGCGCAAAACAAAATTGAGTGGGTCAGTAAAACAAAGTTTTTCGAAAACTTTTCATTTAAAATATTTCTAACCCCTCACCGTAAAACCTGTATACTTTCCCAGAAAATAGCATATATATAAACATATATATAAGCAAAAATCTCAAATCTCAAACCTTTAACACTTTTCAGAAAAAATATATATATATAACCATATGAAATCTCAAAACTTGAATCCCAAATCTTTAACATTTTTCAAGAAAAACATGCCATGCCATAAATCAAAATATAAATCAGGTGAAATAAGGAATCAATCGGAGACCCTGCAGTTGGTCCTATACGATTAATTCAATAGCTCAATATCTCACTAAGCCGGAGTCACCACAGTGACCTATACGGCCCTACTCTGCACATCACTCGGAACTACGTAAGGTAGTCTGTACGATGAAAGGTGTAAAAATACGCTCTAGTGCTTCTCTCATCAATCATCAGCGCGCATAACTAAGATCACCCACTAGTCGGAATCACGCCTAGTGATCTATACGACTAGCATGTCGGAACCCTCACATGGTCTGTACGACATCCACCTACTTGGATCCAAGGCGAGCGTGCGGTGTGGTGAATAAAATAAGCACTAACACCTAGGGTGCAGGTTATGAGCTTGAAACATCTTATCAACAATCAATTAAATGAATAATGAACTCACCTGACTTACCTGTGCCTCCACAGCACCATGCAACATGTATGCATCATATATCAATCATATAACTCATATGAAATTCACATTTTCCAAATAATTCTATGCATGGCATTTTCAAAACATAATTTCGTATAAATTCATCTTCTGGGAAAAATTTATAGTATAAAGGTAATACGAAAACAAAACTGCCCACTCACCTGGAGTTCGCTCAACAACTCCCTAGCACCACACATCAAGGCGTCATGAAGATTAGCGCCTAGAACAATAATCAAACCCAACCTCAGAAATCCTGCCGATAGAATACATAACTTATATAAGACACGTCACTACGTAGTTCGATCCGGATGATCTGCAATTCAGATTTCAAATCCGAAACTTCCAGAGGTCCACAATATACCTCTAGGACAACATCCTAAAATTTCGTTACCATCCAACGGTCGGATCTCCGTCAATTTCCAAAACTAAGTGACGGTTAACATTCTATTTTATGAACTTACAATTCCAATTCCGGAATATTCCGTAAATCGGATTCCCAATCCGTAAGTTCCTATAATCCTCAAATATTACGTATTACAACGTATCAAAGTTTGATGACGATCCAACGGTCGGATCGTCAATTCACATTTTCACCTAACCCCGAATCGTAACCAACTTAGGTTCAATTATTCAATTTACGTCCATCAATTATCAAAACAGAACCTAGAACCTTAATCACAAGCTAATAATGACATTGGCGGCCATTGGCCACGCGCCGCCGCGCGGGCCGCCGCGGGTGGCGGTTGGCCGCCCCCGGCTCGCCGGAAAAATTCAACTATTTCCAAAAATTACCAAAATTTGCAGATTTGAAGATCTCAATGAGTAGTAGAACAACTTTCATACCTGAGACCAAGGCCAATTTGGCCTGGAAGTGCTTCAATTTCACCAAAACCGTGAAGAACCCTAGAATTTGGGTGTTTCCAATTCGACCTTCAAACTTGTTCCAACGCCTCAATTACCTCTTGGGCTTTGTTCTAGGTCCTAAAGAAATGCTAAAGGTGTTAGTAATTGAAAGAAAACATTTCAAAATTTGGAGAATTTAAACAAAAGGGTCGCGGCACCCGTAGGGGTGTTCTTCGCGAAATCACAACGAAATTCAATGATTCTTGGGGTGAAACGTAAAGAGGGAAGGCCTAGATGATGATTAGGAGTGGTACCTTGACTCAATTCGTTGGAAATTTGGACGGAAATGGCGAAAACCCGCCGATTTGGAAGCTTGGGTCGCGCGGGTCAAGGGTGACCCATTCCTCCTGTTCCCCCGCGCACCACTCTCCCTCCTTTCCCTCCTTTCCGTCCCCTGATTGGTCAGCTTCTTCCTCTCCCTTCTTCTGGTTTGCTCTCACCTTCTTCTTCTCCGATTGGGCATTTCTGCCCAGTCTCTTCTTCTTTTCTGTTTTCTGTTTCTTCTTCTCATACACATACACACACCAAAAACCTTTCCCTCATCCCAGCCATCCATTTCATTCATCAATAAATCTGGGCCGTCCAATTTCATAAAAGAATTTCTATATTTTACTAAAATTATAATTCCTTAAAATTCCAAATTTCAAACGTTAATAACTTCTTCGATATAACTCCAAATCACGAACCGTCTGCGCCCACACGTCCGTAACGACGAGTACTACGAGGATATGTCAAGAAAACAAATCTTAGATGGCACGACACAACGATTAACCTCGAATGATGTGCGTGCCTCGAAGGGCATTTTTGTAAAATCCTTTATTAAAACTTTAAAAATTCTTAAAATTAGGGACGGGCTGTCACACCGAAAGCTCTTTAATGGTCCGATTGTCCACGGCCATAACTTCTTCTTCCTCTTCTTCAAACTCAGATTCGGCCTCTGAACTTGAACTAGGTTCACTAGGTTCGGGATGCCTCCTCTTTCTTCTCAAATCACGTTCAAAATCGTCGTTAAAGTCCAAGATATTTGCATGCACAGTTTGAGAACTCCGCGTCATGCACTAGTACCTAAACCAAGAAAACAAAACAAAATCAGAAAACTAGGTAAATTAAATCAAGACACACGGCAAAAACACAAGGGATTAGCAATTTTGCTAATCCCCGGCAACGGCGCCAAAATTTGATGTGAAAATTAACTTGACACACAAATTAAACCCTATGGATGACAATTGTAGTATATGAGCAAATAGGGATCGTTCTAACCGGGGATTAACTAGGGATGCTAATCAATGTAAAACTGACTCAAGAACATAAAAATATAATGTAAAACACTAAACTAGACTCAATTAATGCAAAACTAGGGTTTAAAACACCTAAACAAACTAAAAACTCAAAACAGCAACTAAAAGGCTCAAAATTGCCTTAAAACCACTTTCTGGGCCGTTTTAAGTACCTAACACTAGTTTGGACGAATTTGGACTATGACTTGACTCAAAACACTTAAAAACACAACTAAATGGATTTCTAACTAATCTAACACTTTAAAATAAATGGGGGAATGATTTTGACGAAATTAAAACTTTAAAACTCAAACTTTAAAAACAAAGGTAAAGCAAAACAGATTATGATTAAATAGAATGGTGAGAAGCTAGTTAGAGGATTCCTTATCCACACATGAACATATGCATACAACTCGATCTCCAATTACTCTTTCAACAAACCATGAATGACAATGCCCCAAATTAACTAGATTGCACCAATTAATTCTCAGATTTCCCTAGGTTCATTGAATTGAATGGAATACGCATTACAACCAAATTATTCTTATCAAGGACCCTAACTATGGAATACGCATGGTAGAGACACATATCAAAGATCATTAAGTTCAATGGACATCATAAGCATTGACGAGACATTCATAACTATGGGATACACATGTTACTCTTGCCCAGAATTTACTTAACGCAATCGTGACTAGCGACTTTCACTACTTATGAATATAAGTTAATAACGATTAGGTGAAATTCCCTTATATCCTAGCATCAAGTTTAGGCATGCAAATTAAGTGTCGACCCTCAACCCACATACATAAACAAGTTATCAATCAAATAGATAAGTAAATCACATTCACAATTTCTGAAATCATAATTGGAAGAAATCAAATCATATAACACATATGTCCATGGCTTCAAATTCACCTCTAACTAAAAAGAAATTAGTTCCACATGTCTAACATAATTGAAAGGCAAGTTAAATTAAACATGAAAACAGAAACAAAGAAAGAAAGAACTCCAAACACTCCACTAATGGCAGATTGCATGTGCAAGGCTTCTCCTTCCTTTGGACTGCACGGCACTCCTTCTTTCTCCTCCTTTAGTGGCTGCACAAGGTGGTGATGGTGGTGGGAAGGCACGGCAAGGGTGAATTGTGGCAGAAATATGGGAGTTTGGGGGTGGAAGGTTGCGGCAAAGAGAGAACTAGGGTTTTTTGGCGTGAATGAATGTTATGGGGGCTGATAGATTCGGCCAAGAGGTTTAAGAGAGTATATATAGGCACTTAAAAACCCTAGCAATCAGATTAGGGTTTCTAGAAACCCAAATCCACCAGAAAATAGGTTAAAACAATCAGAATTTGCAAGGGAAAAGGCCTAGGGTTCGGCTGGTTTAGTGGGCTAGGGTTTAGGCTTCTAGAATGCCTTGCAAGGCAAGGAAATCAGAAATTTAAAGGCCTAGGTGCGGCAAATTAGTGGGCTAGGGTTTGGGTTTGTAGATAGGGCTTCTAGAAAGCCCAAAACCAAGAATGGAAACCTCCAAGAATAGAAACTTCCAACTTTAGAAACTTTGGTTTCTACTTCTGAATTCTTTGTTCTTCACATTCATTTCTTCATTTCTTAAGCTCCTTTGCCCTTCAAACTCGTCCATTCCTTGTGCTCCAAGCATGTACTTTCCAATCTAAGCTCCATTTTGCTCCAAAAGGCTCCAATTTGCATCCTTTTATGTCATATGCCCTTTAAGCCTGAAAACACATGAAAGTAGCTCAAAAGACTACTTTAACGAAGAAAACATAACGAAAATGCATAAGAACTAGCTAACTAAGGCGCATAAATATGCTCCTATCAAGGCAAGGCAATAGTGAGTTAGTTTGACCAAAGAGCATGATGACCACTATAATGTATTTTCTAGTTAATACAAAGATCGACTCTGGAAAAAAAAATCAATCAAATCATAAGTCACTTAATCATAAAAATGTCAGATTTTATGTTTTTAACTTAGGAACATAGTTCAATTATTTATTAAGTAATTTTAACATGACTAAACGATTTAAGATTTTGATTGATTTTAGGTAGTTTGATCTTTAAAGGGTGGTTCAAATTGAGATGTAGCATTACAAGAATAAGACGGAGAGTTTATAATATCAAATGAGAAAATTCAAATGAGAAAGATTGGTAGCATTCTACATAAATACAGATTAAGTGCATGTACGATCTACATAAATAATTGATTAAGTGCGAACATATCGTGCGTTGTAAGTGTAGGAAAAAATGTAGTTACGATTCTACCAAGTGCATGTACAACGGGCAACGCGATTATGAAAGAAATGACAAAAAGAAAAAAAGAAAAAAAAAAAAGAAAAAAAGAAAAAAAAAAAAAAAAAAAAGGAAAAACCTGAAAACTAGAATTAGCTCACCAAAGCGAGCAAAAACACAAAAGCTGAGAAGAAACAGGGAAGGCAAAGCACCAGCTTCTTTCTCTCTGTCTGTGACTGTGTGTCTCTGCCTTTGATTTCTAATTTTGCGCCAATCAAAGTCCCCACAAATCTCCAATTCACTCTCTCTCCTAAAAATGTCAGCTTCTCCTTCAGGTAAAACTCAGACCTAAACCCTCTCTCTCTCTCTCTCTCCCTACACCTCTTTCTCTCTCTAGAAATTCAGACTCACATTTCAATTCACACATACAGCAATCCGCACTCCACAATTTCTGTTTCCACTCCAACATTGTTTTGAATTTTCCACAGACTCACACGGCAAATGGAGGAAGCGAAAGCGCGACCCCCAAATTCGCCGGAACAAGCGCGAGGACGACGACGACGAAGACGACGACGCCTGTGCCGCCGCCGACGACGACAACGAGCTCGACCCGAACGACGACTCGGAGGACCCCCAACATAACCCCCCATCCGCTGCAGAACCCGATCCCGCCCCTCACGAGACCGAGGTCCTGGACGGTGGGGTCCGCGTCAGTGACTTTCCTCCCGTCGTTTTGCGCACCGTCAACCGGCCCCACTCCTCCGTTCTTGCCCTCGTCGCGCTCGAGCGAGGCAATCATTCCGGCGGGGACACCAAGGGGCCCGCCAGCCCCATTTTATTGGAGAATGTGTCGTACGGTCAGCTCCAGGCGCTGTCCGCCGTGCCTGCCGATAGTCCGGCGCTCGATCCGGACCGTGCAGATGGCTCCGTGG